CACTCAGCTGAGAGTAGAGCCTCGCTGAGGGAGGATATCGACGGTAATTCTGCGTATCGGGGGAAGAATGGCGTGGCAACATCCGTACTCGCGATTTCAGTATATTCTCCGCGAATCAAAGTATTGATCTGCTCCGTAAGTCTCGTCTCGGCGGTTTCAGAAGCAGCGAGGAGCTCGATGGTCTCCTGTGCATTCGACGGTGAGGCAAGTCCAGCTGTACTGGCTAAGAGACGCTGGCATATCTCGGACATCCTGAAAAGTGACAAACCGATGAGTTGTGGCGTCAACATGAATCTCTCAAAGTACCTTGATATGGCAAAACTCCAGGTATTTGGCTTCATCGGTTATCGAGAGTCAGTGACGAAGTCGTATTGACCGTATTCGTGCAATACTTATTCGAGCGGAAAGCTGCCTGGCAGTAGATGGTGGTTCAGTGTCAGATGCCAGTTTCACGTGGTCTCGTTAGACGACAGACCCAGCAGCTGGATTTTCTCCCATATTGAAAAAATCAGAATCACGCCCATAACGTCTGGCGTCTAGATTCTATCGCGCCTTCTTCCAACTTCGGCTAACTCTGGCGGCGGCGGATGACACGTGCCGGTTTCTGTGACTGCCGTGACTGATGGTGACGACCAGCGCTTGCGGAAAACTTCCAGCAGCCCGATGCCTCCAAAAACGAAGCCGTTTGTTCTCTTTATCTTTGCCTCGCTTGCTCAAACTGAAATGACAACAGGAGAAATAATGCCAAAAATCACCGTATTTCGCGACAATCTCCACGCGGAAAGCCGACCAAGGGAAGGTCGTCTAGTCGTGCTGACGAGGCGATTTCAGGGCCTGCGATATTCTCGCAAGAGATATCTGACCTCTTCATCGACTACAACCACGATGACCGCCAATTCCTGCAAACCTGCTCTCGAGTTTGTCGTGGTTGGGTGGCGTCGAGCCGCTTTCATCTTTTGAAGGGAGTTGTGGTCACTATCGATAAATCGACTGAGCTGGGATGGATGAACCTCGTTCGAAGCCCTCTATCAACCATAGGTCATCACGTTCGCTCTGTCAAGCTAGCAGCATCTCATCACGGGGCTCTCCGATATGAGCATTGTATCCAGCGCCTTGACAGGATCGAAACGCTACACATACTAGAGGGGACCATAACAGAAGACTCATTTTCACCTCTGTTTGCCAATGTCACGACACTGCAAATCGAGTCCAACGTCCCGGATTTGGATACCATTCTGGCTTTCTTGGCTTCGTTCACCCAGCTGCGAGATGTCAGGCTCAGACATACCACGAGGGAATATCAGCAGTACGATCCTGCTAAAAACATGGTCTACACAACATGGGAAATGATGGATCCACCGACCGTAGTTCATTCTATGCCATCTTCCCTCGCCGCCGTATCCTTGACTTGGGATTCGACTATCGGGATATTCAACCGATGGTTCAGTCAACAAACCGTCGCTCCGAATATCAGAGAGCTGGAGCTCAGTGTGTCGTCGCGACATAAATACACAGAAACGTCAACGCCCGAATTACTGCAGCATCTCAAGCCAACCCTGCGTTCCTTGACAATCCAGTGCGTGCAGTGGCTCGGTATGTCCATCTTGATTCCTTTCAACGCGTACATGTCTGAAATTATACCTACTAGACAGTCTGCATTTGTTGGATCTCGACAATTACCCCTGTCTCGAGACACTGTGCATCCACGTTTCCAAGTTCTTTTGCGGTAGCTCCTACATTCATTGGCTTTGTCAACGAACCACCAGACACCTGGCTTTTATACTCAATACGCCATGTTGCATTTGGATCCAGGAAATGGAGCAATCCACACACTTTCAGGATATAGAAGATTGGCAACGATTGGACCAAGCTTTGTCGGGGAGCAGTTTCAAAAAGATAGAATTCCGTTGGGAATGGAAGCTTAACAGGGTTTCATCTGATATCGTCGCATTCCTGCAGAGGAACCTTCCGCTTTGTGATGCCAAGGGTGTGCTGGAGATTTCTTCGCCCGCTGTCCCCGTCTTTGCGGGAGCATTGTCATAATGGGGGGACCGTTGCTTAATGATAATAGCTAGATCTGTACATCAGCAAACTGACTCCCGCAGACTCGCGAACGATGGAGAGCATAGTGATTTGGGGGAGATGCTGCTGTAGCGGGGATCCTCATCAGGCGGCCGTGAAACAGCATAACTGAATTGCAGAAATCATATTCTCTAGTATTATGAAATCTCATAATCCACTACTAGGCCTGTACGCGATCATTTATATCAGTTAGTGTTCTACCCACAGCAGAGACGGGAAATCCATGCTGACATTGCATTTTTTCAATATCTTGTCGATGTGAGAGGAAGACCAGCCACCGGGCACTTCAAGCTTCAAGTGCCACAATAGCTCCCCAGGCGTACCTCACCCTGAACAGGGCCAAGATATGTCAACGGGAAACTAAATGGGAAAAGCATCAGGCCCCTATATGACTTTGATCCAAGTGTACAAAATTTCACTAGGCATATCCAACCAGTGAGTTAGAGGCCAGCCTTCAGCGGCAAATATGAACCCCTGTTGATTACCAGCTTTCAAATTTGTTGAACAGTCATGCACAATTAAATCAAGATGGCAGTTAGAAAAGTGACCATCAACAGCAAGGAATGAGTAGTGTATTTGAGGGAGACACTCAGCTAATGCTTACCTGAACAGCAGCAGGAAAGGGAACACTTGTAGGCAATTGCTTACTTATTATGGACACATACACAGGAGATGAAATACTCAGTGACAGAGACTGTATTGCTTCTCGCTGTAGTCTCTTGTCATGATTCACTGCAAGCAAGGAGCGGTGGCCAGTTGGTGAGCGTTGCTGAACAAATGATCTTTTCTTGTGTTCTCCGATACCCAACCAAAAATGGAAGGGAAGTGACAGTCAAGCTATGGATTATATAACAGTGCATGAAACAACCATAAATGACTTGGAAAGCGATGATCGGCCGGATACTGATGCCTGAATTAGTTGGTGGCAGATAGGAAAGATGCCATGTAATAGGTAGGTATGATGGAATCCCAAAAGTTGCTCTCCCAAAAAGTCAGCCCATAAAAAATGGGACGGGTAATTGCAAGGGGGTACCGGCAATCGGGCCGAGCACCCGGGCCTGGATAGGTAGGTCCCTCGCCGAAGGCGAAAAAAAAAAATTCCATGTGAAAATTTTGACATACATTCACTGCGTTTCGTGCAAAAAATCACGGCCCTCAGATGCTCGATAATGGCTGAAGTATCTTTCACTAACGCGGGTATCAAGGGGCCCGATGCATATTGATGTTTGAGATAGCGAACGGTCCATGATAGAATAGATATCTGGGCTGTGACAGCTTGCTCAAGGTAGGCATCTTGCTCGCCATCAAGCTGTCCGATAATCCAGCTAGCCAATACTTCTGCTATGAAGACTATCATTGACTATCTTGGGCCAGGATAATTAGGTCCGCCTGATTATCTAGGGCTATGATGGCTCTTGATAGCTACAATGGTTGATGCTAGTTGCTAATGGGTTGCTAGGGGACACGATCTCGGAACTAGTGTGACTTTTTTGAATCCAGAGCCACGTGCATGTTCGTTGATCGTTTCTTTCTTTCCTTCCGCCACCACCAGCACAAGCAATTTGGCTTGCTCCTCTTCTTGCTTCCCTTTGCATTATTTATCATTCTACTTTATTCTATTTCTAGACCATTTTGTTGACCCGCCTGTGGGTTTTGGTCCGGAGGCGGGCGTTGAGCCTGACCCTTCGTCACTTTTGTGTTTTATTTCAACCCGATTATCCCTCTGCTCTACCTCTCACTTTCCCTCTCACCGCTTTCCCCGCAGTCCAAGGTATGATTTCATTGCTCGCTGTCTGAATTGCTTCCTGAATTATATGCACAGAACCTGGTGCACGGTGCAGTGACGTAGAATGGATGATGGTGTGTGATGTCCTGCCAATGGAGGGTGAGCTATACTAATGTCCGTTGTTAGGTCCTTGTTTCTTAGGGTTCTTCACTATGTTCTAATCTCGTTCAATACGGTGCGTAATGTTCTCTTCCCTGGTATCATGCATGCTGATACCTTTCCAGTGTATCTTGTGTCACATTCCAACCAAATCTCCCTTCCTGTTGCCTTATTCTGCCGATTTGACGTGTCGTAGTCTGTGAATAGCACATTTTTGGTCGTTTTTTCATTATCACTGTCTATTAAATACAGCACCGATATGCAATTGTCTGACGATCACGGTGCTTGATGTTTGATTTATCTGGGCCCTGATATCTAGCTATCTGGGCGTAAATGTTCAACTGTCTTGGCACCAATCTCACCCGTCTTGGTCCTTATCAACACCCTTAGATGGGTAATGCAGGTGTAGTATCATGGCCCTAGATGTTTGACCTCTCTGGGGGCTATCAGGGGGCTATCTAGGACTTGGATTCTTGAAATAAAGATGCCCACAGATAGTCGTGATACCATTACTAGCTAGGCTCCCATCAGCCGCCTGATTTCTTGCACGAAACGCAGTGATTTGAGTCATTTTTGCTATATTTCATGTCTTTGAGCAAGTAAATGCATCAAGAAATGTGAGCGGAATTCAGAGTTGGCCTAGATGCAGTTGTAAATGCGATGACGTGAGGATTTTGCGGTGCAAGCGTAAGCCCTGCGAGACAGTTTGGGTGGGTTTATCCACTGTATAACAGCATTTGGATTGGTTGAACTGACTCTTATTAGTATCATCTTGCTTGTAGTGGGCTGCAAAAGCTGTCGTGCAACTGGACTTGTCAAAGCTGCAAAGATCGAGCCCGCTGAGATCTTATCTCTTATTTATTACCATATATGGAGCGTGAGAGTGCTTACATAGGTAGATAGGTCCCGGCCCATGGCGTTTTGAAAAAAATTCGACCCCTGGTCTTTTAACTTATCTCCGGTACCCCCTTGGGTAATTGAGACCGATGGAAGGATAGCCAGCCGGCAGGGGTTGATGATACGTCTAGGCTATGCCTTTGTAGTCTAGTGGTTATCATTCCTGTCTATTTGACTGATGGAGACGGAGCGTTTGATTCCTCCCAAGGGCATTTATTAGTATGTAGCTCGTCTCTTTTTCTGCCGAATCAAAAGTGGTTGACAGAGTGTTTGTTCTCAATTCTATGGGGTTGCAGCGGTCGGAGAAATGCTTGGAAGGGGGTTAGCAGGGGCTAGAATCATTCTGATAGTCACATTCCAATCACCGGGATGATCCCAGCCCTTCCAACCATTCCGAACCATTCCAGTGGGTCGGTATCATTCTAAGCCCTTCCAAATGTAGTGACGCATATCAGTCGAGTCTGCAGTATGACGAGACGACTCGCCGTAGACAAAACAGAGAAACGGGCAGGTATGGAAGCTTTGACTTGACCAAGACCATGTCCGAACATTGTCAATGAGCTGTGAAAAAGACCAGAGTTCACGGAAACACAGTCAGACCAACCGTCGAATAAAGCGATGGAATTGACGAATGATTTAGATGAGAGATGGAATCCGGTAGAACAAATTGGGACAGTGGAGTTACAGTAATAAACCCCCAAGCGAGACACTTTAGGTATTTTGGCTTATAACATGTTTTCTTGCTTTTTTCATAAAATCTAATGGTGATTTTCGAAATCAGTGACCTCGAAAACCCCCAAAGAGATGCGCAGCTGCAAGTGGTCGGTGCTGTCGCGGTGGAAATCGCATCATGTATGTCACCGGCAAATTTGAGTTCTCACGTGGTAGCGAGACATTGTGACTTGAAACCACTCCGTTGAGCGCCTACCATCAGTGTTGCTTAGGAAAACATGTTATTAGGGACAGGAGTGATTTATCGGAGTTGTTTGTCGGTGAGAGAAGGGCCATGGGAGTGACTGCAAGTCTCTTTGCCATCCGGGCTCTAGACATCACCGGGCCGCTAATTATTAATAGGGATCAAACTTCGACAGGCTGTAGCATCTCGTACACTGCTTGAAATCCTTATTCCTTTGGGTACAAGCATGTTTCAGGTTCCTCATCCATTGTAATAATGACAACTCTCAGCTTCAACTAATCTGGCCATGAAAAATTGACTGTCTCGCTTACTGATTAGTCTTGTGTTTACCACGGGGTGCTGGGCGCCCAACAACCTTACAGTATTGTAAGCTTGAAGTTCCCATGCGCCAAGAGCATGAACTGACCGAGGAATTTCCAGCGTTTAGCTGTCGGTATGGCCAAACAACTTCAAAATGGCACATACTCGTGGTCACACTTAGTAACCATAATTTACTCTTGGTCCAATAACTTTGCTGCAAGTGGATATTTTTCTAAGCGCTAAGTTGTGAAGGTGTTGCATTTTCAGATGTGAAGAATCTGGTAGCATTTAAATCCACTGAGATATATGAATTCTGGATGTGTACACTCAATTATAGAGTTCCAGCAGAATGAGAAATTTACAACTTGAAATACAGGTATCACAGAGCAAATATGATCCAAGGAGCAGAAAGATGTTGCTTTTTAGAGTTGGTTTCCATCTTATTTCAAGTCAATCGAGCCATTTGGGAACGAGAAATTGGGACTCAAAAGTCATGTTTTGGCGGGGAAATGACGAAATGACGGTTACTAAGTGTGACCACGAGTATGATGTGTTCATGGCTAGGAGTCGACATCCAAAGAAGTTCAGGTGAGAAATAGCCAGCTCTTGCAGGCTTGTGATATTATGAGATGACAGCATTTACTTGTCGACTTCCACCGTTTTGGCCTCAAAACATTAATTTAACCAACATACACTAGTATATGCTTCCTTATGCATTTTGTTCTATTGCCATCTTCGATGCGCAGACACGATTTGGAAGGAATAGAGGACATCTAAAACTGTCACACGCCTAATGCTTGGTAATAAGGTTGTCGGGCGCCCAGCACCCTGTGGTAAGTAACAGACTCTATACATCAACTTGTTGATCATAACGAGTCTGTCTAGGAGAGACTACTTACTGATGGCGTCTCGCTTCCCTATTTGTTACTGTATAGTGCGGAAGGGTCAAAGGAGGGGAAAGGGTGCCATGAGCGAGGAATGAGAAGGGAGCTTGTGGTTCAGAATAGGAGAACAGAGTTATTGCACTGAGGGCAAGAATCCGATGAGATGGAGATAAAACCAGGCTCACGTTATTCAGCGGTCATCTCAGACTCTAGAGAGGTAAGTATATCATGTTGATAAATCAGCTGGAAATACCGGAAACAGATCATTAAGCCATGTCAAGACTAGCGCCCGCATCCTCGGCCCACAGACCGCAGAGACATGGGCAGCGGTTGGAAGAAGTCACAGAGGAGGCAAAAAGAAACATATAGACATAGGAAAAAGAGGGAATACTGAAGCTGAATGTTCTCCAGAGGCCTTATTGGGCATTTTCTTTCAAAACGCTGCTGCGGAAAGATGAGCAAAGCAAAAACACCGGGGGCATCAATTGACGCACTCTGTTTCGAGTGCATCACAAGAAGTATTGATGCATTCCCTGATCATTTCCCACAGCCTTTGTTCCAAAATTGGGCTCAGGCCTGGGAACTGGGTGCTTCATCTGGTGGTGACTCATCCATATGAGTTGCCATCATGCATTTATCACAAGTCGGTCAATGTTCTAGTGGCTCGTTACCAACATTAATCACTAATTATGTATGAAAAAAACATCTATGCATGCCAGGGTGAATGGTGATGGAGTGCACAATGACTTTTATTCCTTAATGAATACATAGAAGAGACATAACAGCTGGACTGATACCTGGCAGAGCCCACAGCAGACTTGTGAGAAATACCAACAACAATGAGTCAGCAGGATGTGTCATTGCCCAATGAAGCATTCAGTTCCCAGGTGTGAGCCCCATTTTGGAACAAAGGCTGTGGGAAACGATCAATACTTCTTGTGACGCACTCCAAACGGAGTGCGTCGATTGATGCCCCCTGAGATAACCGTAGCCACAGGGTACACCTGGTGCAGCGCACCTTCTTAGGCAACCATAGATTCTATGTCAATGATATCTGGATTTCTAATCTGCATGTTCTTGAGACTGAGTGAAGACCCAAAGTAGGACTTACAATCTTGCTATTGTTCTTCTGTGTCCTTGGATGGATGATAGGATCCAGGCTTCTATTGTCTGAGTGAAATAGACTCCGCTATTATATCTCCGTCATCTGCCAAGACAAATCAAGATCTGGATTCTCAATTGTCTCTGGATTGTAGGTTTGGTGGGTGGAATTGCATCCATAGACACTCTGGAAGCTATATCCTATTCTTCATCCTATACCATGGGGATGGCTCTCAGGATTGTACTTCGTAAGTATCATCGGAGTCTGAATCTTTATCACATGCCGAGCAGCCTCGAGATTATTATTTTGTTTCCCAATATTTTCATTGCTCCTCAGTTGTTCTTTGATCCATGAACATTATAAATCCAACATATAATCTCAACGAGCTCTACAGTTGCCCAAGAAGGTGCGCTGCACCAGGTGGTAGCGAGCTGCTTCGGAGGAGCGCGTGACATCACATATGCCGCCGCTGTGCCATATGGATCGCACTTCCGAGTCCGACGTGCGATAAGTAATAACAAGTATGGCGATGTGGCTGATAATGAAATGAAAGGCATTGAAAGGAAGCAGAAAGTCAGATTTGGAACAGGATCAGCTTGAGCAAGATGGCAGCGACTCGGCGTCGGAATGAGGATTATGGTTCTGGTAGCGAGTGAAAACTGACATTCAAGTCAAAATCAATTCTAATCGCATTCCAATCTTAGTCAATCATTCTGCGTGATAAAGATTATGCTATTCCATTGCAACCATATACAATTATCCCTTGCAACGAGGATTATTCCAGGATGTTCCAACTCCCATCCAATCATAATCCAGTTGTATAGAATGATCCCAGACTCTGAGAATAATCTCAGCGAGTTGCAACAGACCAGAATTACTCTGGTATCTATAGGGCTAGAACTGACTGGAAACCCTTTTAAGTTTTGGTCAGTTTGCCGATAAAGCACCAGCCTTCGCTTTCATGACTGGCGGCGGTCCCGGCGGCAAGCCTGGGAACAAAATCCCATTTGAATCGCGGGATCCGGAGTAACACTGAGCCATCGCTGATCACTAAGAACTCAGGTCTCATCTGGTCTCGTATGACAATGATTCGGGACCTTTCGGGACCTGAAGACAGATAATAATACGTGCCTCCTTTTGTTATCAAGATGCATATACCATGTGCATTGATGGGAGGTTTATGGCAACCAAACCATTCATGGGTCGAAGTGATCAAAACGGCGGATATTCTTCGGTTACATGACGATATGCCGCAGTGGACTGCTAGGGAATTGCATGCCCGGGACAAAATTTAGATTCTCTCTCGTGTTTCACAGATTTCTGATGCTATAAAGCCACCCATCCGGAATCTTGCTTTGCCGAGTGACCCTCTTCTCCCTTCTCTTCCGTGATGTGGTCCCTCAAGCTCAGAAGCTGTGTTTCTCTTGTTGTCGCAAATCTCGTTGCATGTCAACAGATATGGGATATTGTGAGTCTGTCAACATTCAAGTTTTACCTTCGGCTCTGACAATGGTGCCAGTGGCAAACGACTTGGGACAGAACAAAGCTTCTGACCTCGCTAGCACCAGCTACGCCGATCAACTTCGTGACACCTGGAACTCCAGCAGCTGCAGATATTGTGATATCCGATTCGACTGTATTCCAAACTATAGCAGGCTTTGGGGGAACAATGAGTGAGTTATTTCAGGCTATTTCCCTTCATTTCAATTAGTATTCACTGGAGCGTCCTAGGCGATTCAGCGGCACTCACTCTGAACAACCTCAAGGTTCGTCCATCATAAGCCCCTGCAACCAACTTCAACTCATTCCGTTCCAGACGGCCCATCCGGAGAATTATTGGTCGATTCTAGGTTACGCGGTGCGCTGCTTTCCCCGATTGAAAGAAATATAAGCTGAATGTCGTAATTCACAGTTCGACAAGACTGATGGAGTTAATGCTGCCGGTTTGAGCTATCTCCGAGTTCCGATCGGGGCCAGTGATTTTTCGTCACACGGTCAGTGGACTTGATC